AAAGGCCTTTGTGTATGTAGCAGACTTTACTGAAGATTTGGAGATGAAGGGGCTTTACATAGCAAAAATACAAAAAACTGAAAGTTGAGTATTAGACATCCATGAGCTTAAGAAGACCCAGCCATTTCTACCCATGGGGCTCCCGCCTTCTATGAAGACACTTGACCACCTCTCCCTGCCGTTTCTCAAGAAGCTGAATGAAACTCAGATTTCCTGATGCTTTCTTAGAGTATTTTAGTCCTCCATTTGCTGCCTTCCCTTACTTTTATTTTTTTTGAGATAGGGTCCTGCTGTTGCCCAGGCTGGAGTGCAGTGATGCAATCTCAGCTCACTGCATCCCTGACCTCCTGTGCTCAAGCAATCCTCCCACCTCAGCCTCCCAAGTCGCTGGGACTACAAGAGCACGCCACCATGCCCTGCTGATTGTTCTGTTTTTTTGTAGAGATAGGGTTTTGCCATGTTGCCCGGGCTGGGCTCAAGTGATCCTCCCGTCTCAGCCTCCCAAAGTGCTGGGACTACAGGTGTGAGCCACCGCACCCAGCCTGTCTTTCCTTTCTAGACTATCTCTTAGGGCCTCTTTCTCCCCTTAATGGGTCACAAAGTTATCTCCCCAATTTAGAACACTCCCTCCCCTTTCCTGACACCAGGGTGAAGATATAAAACTTGCACTGGGTAGTTCTCGCTAAACCAAGACTTGAGGTCTTCTACTCACCTTCTTTGAGGGACATTAGAGCTTTTTTTCCTCTAAAAATAAGTATGCGTGCATGTGCGTGTGTTTTAGGGGTGGGAAGGGCAGAGTCAGGGGACATTTTTACACACCCACATTTCACATTCCCTGAGCGCATGCCATGAGTGAGGGTGGCCCTGCTCCTTCACACGCCATGACCTTTCCACCTCCCGACAGCAACCCCAAGTCGGAGACTTTATTCTCATTTCACAAATGAGATTATGAAGTTCCCAAGGGGGTGCTCGTCCAAGATCACATGACTCGTAAGAGGTCAATGTGATCACTGGCCTGGCTTAACTTTAAGTTCTGTTTGGAGACGGAGTTTCGTTCTTGTTGTCCAGGCTGGAGTGCAATGGCACGGTTTCGGCTCACTGCAACCTCCATCTACTGGGTTCAAGCCATTCTCCTGCCTCAGTCTCCCTAGTAGCTGGGATTACAGGTGCCCACCACCACACTCAGGTAGTTTTTGTATTTTTAGTAGAGATGGGGTTTCACCACGTTGGTCTTGAACTGACCTTGGGTGATCCGCCCACCTTGGCTTCCCAAAGTGCTGGGATTACAGGCATGAGCCACTGTACCCGGCCAAGTGTACATTCTTAAGAACAACGTACATAGACTGGGGAAAAGTGTCTCGTTTTCATTCTGAGAGCTAATACAACAGAGAGTGTATGAAGAGGTCAAACACAGGGACCACTGGGTGGAGCACACTGCCATTCCACCTCACCTTCCCGCTCTGTGCCACACACCTGATGCGGCCCCACCCAACACAGCCACGGCCCTCCTACCCCCCACCACCTGCCTGGTGTCCTCTGAGTCTCAGCCCAGCAGAGGGAGCAGGTGCACGCTCTAAGCACACACACGGTACAGGAGCTGGGCGAGGCCAACCATGCCAGCCCCTCGCTCCACACCCCACTGGCTTCCGTTCTGAAAGGGAAGAACCACACACACACCCCCCGCCAAACTCCTGCGTGGGTTTCTCTGTTAGAAAGATCATCCTGCTCTGAAAGACGGGGGCCAATGGGAAACAGTCTGCTGGCTCATGCCTGGACCCACTGAGAGAGACGGTCCATCTCCCGTCCCCATTTCCACCTGGACAGTGCTGCCTAACTCAGATCATGTCAGAATGGTGGAGGAGTCTCTATCCCCACAGGGCTCAGGGACCCTTCTTTGCCTCACAGGCCCCATTGACATGACCACCTGCCATGCACATTCGCTCCCTCATCAAACGGAACCAGGCAATGAGGTCTCACTGCGCAGAGCTGAGTTTTGTGGGAAGAAACTGAAACACACACACATGCCTCTCTGAGGTCCAGAGCAGCCCACTGCTGTTTTCTAGAAAATCCGATCAAAAAGACTCCCTTGCTTAACACACGTCCAGGACTTCCCACCACACTGGGTAAAGTCCGAAGCCCTCACCAAGAGAGGGGGCACCACCGGGCCGCCTGCTGCCCTTCCCCACCTGGAATGCGCTGGTCCCTCCTCTCTCCGTTCACTCTGTATTCTGGACACAGTGGCCTCTTCTCTGTGCCTGGACACATCTGTCACCTCCCTGCCCCCAGCACCTGCTGTTCCCTCCGCCTGGAATACTGTTCCCCTGGCCCCCCAGGGCTGGCTCTTCCTGCCCTTCAGAATCAGCTCAAGCCCCACCGCCTGAGAGAGGCCTCCCCCAGTGACTCGACCTCAGCACCTGCGCAGCCTCACCACGCCCACCTGTCTCCTCACCTGCTTCCTCTTTGCTTCCCAAGGAGCCTGTCTGTCGTCTTCCTCCCTGACACATTCCCACTGACACATCCCCAGTACCTAGCACAAAGCAGAAGTTCAGTAAGTATTTGCTAAGTGAATGAACAGATGCACGAATCGTCCAAGCAAGTTAGCGGAGCTCTCCGTGCCACATTTGCCTCATCGGTAAAATGGGGCTAGCACAGTACCCATTGGGTGAGGATGAGAAGAGACGACAGAGGCACCTGTGTTCGGGTACCAAGCATGTGCCAGGGGTTCTAACAGGGCGTAAATGGAATGCCTCTGACACACAAGGGCAGGCATGACTAAGCCTTCTGCATGAGAAGAGGGGATTCCTCTTTGGCTCTGGAAGAATGAGCGACAGAGGGCAGATGGAAGACGGGATGAGCACTACTGGCCGGGGGTGCTGGGAAGTAGGTGACTCAGGGTGGCTAGTGGGGAGGCAGCAGGGAGCCTCAGAGGAGGCTGCAGACGAGGTGGGGCCAGCTCACCCATTTGTCTCAAGGGTCATGGTCTGCACCACTACCACGGGGAAGGCAGCTAAGTCTGCCACCTGCTATGGTTGACCGGCTTGGATTTTACACCTGTAAGGAGGTGACTGCCCACTAGGCTGCTGAGGTCAGTTCATAGAGGGAAGGAAAACTCACAGCCAACACCTGGACCCAAAAACATCTGCACTGGCCTCTTCCCCAGCCAGGACACAAACAGGTTATCTCTTTAAATGTGCATTTGTCCTGTGGCCAAGAGGCTGCTGGCACAACACATCCTTCAGCCACAGCGCTGGTGCTGCTAGTCAAGCTAGGACGGCCAACTCCAGCTTCCCTTATTCAATCCCCCAGGGACAGGGGAGGGGCGAGAGCGAAGGCAAAGGCTGTGCTGGCGCCTGGGGGTGAGGGCAGGAGAGCCTCACACAAACACAAACCCAGGTGGGGACATACAGGCACCTGCTCAGGGGCTCCTCCAACCCCAGGTTCCCCAAGAGCCCACGCCCCAGCTTCTGATGAGAGCTGGGCCTCCAGACTGCGCAGCTCTGCAGCCTGGCAAGAGGTGTAGCGGTGGTCCTGATGCCCGGAGAGGTTTGGTTAAAGCTGTTCTGTGGTAAGACAGTGGGGGCTGGGCCATGGAGGAGCGGGAGACTAGGCTGCTGGCCTCTTCCCCAAATCTGGGATGCTGCCAACTTCCCTCCATCTGCTTCCCTAGAGGCTGCCCACCCCTTAAGGGCAGCTCCCCTCAAACACTTCCCTTCCCTGAATCTCCTGCACCTTGATCTCTCCCGTCTCTGAGCGCCAGTGGCTTTGAGGATCACTTAATAGTTTTCCAGTCTGACTTAGTGAGACTGCAAGCTCCTATGATTAATAACGACGTATATTTAGTGAACACATTTATGTGTGGGGTACTATGCTAGGCACTGTAGATACGCGAGGTAGGTTACTGTTATACAAATTTTACAGATGGGGAAACTGAGGCACGGTGAAATGAAGTAACTTGCCCCAAGGTCACTCAGCTAGTCTGACTCCAGAGCCCTTGCTCCTAACCACACTCCATGACACCTCTTCGATGCTGTCTGTCTTACTCACGTAGTCCCATGCCGTATCTCCCAGAGTGCTGGACACACGATAAACATTAACACCCCTAGGTTGAATCTTCCTTCCCTTTCCGCTCTAGGCTACTGATCTGTGGTTCCTATGAGGGAAGATGACCCCAAAGAGCCACTAGGTGGCAGCAAGGAGCCGGATTCCGGCCTCCCCGTGGCAGGGAGGGAGGAAGGGAGGAAGGGAGGGAGGGAGGAGTTCACTGTTAGGTGTATTTAGTGCACCTTGCACCAGGCACTTCCCTGACTTCATATCTTCCCACTCTACAGAGAGGAAAGGGGACTAAGGTTCAGACAGGTTGACAAATGCCCAAGGTCAGGCAGCTTAGAATACTAGGACCGAAGCCAGGACTGGCAAAACTCTGAGCCCACGCCAGTTCTCAGGAGAAATAAACCCAGGAACCCCTTCAGCTGCGTATCTAAGTCCAGGCTCCTCAGCCCCGCTGCCTCCTGCCCTCCCAGCCTCCTGCCCTCCCCACCTCAGGCTCCTTCGATCTGAAGCCAGCGCCCCCAGCGTGGTCATGGAAGATGGTCATGGCATCCACATCCACTGAGATGGACGGAAACTATCCAGAGAGCTCTGGCGGTGTCCCCGTCCAACAACTGTCACCTCCACACCTAAAACCCACTCCCCCAGGGACGGGGCCTCTCTGTGTGAACCGTCCTGTGAGTGCAGCAGGGGTGCACGTGGCTGTGGGTGCATAGCCCATGCGTTTCTCGGACCTCCCGGCATGGCCACTGCCACAGTGCAGGGGCTTGAGAGGCAGCACGGGGACCGTCACATCTTCGGTTCCAGGGTCTGGTGATGTTCCTGGCTGAGTCCATTGGGGTGCTGGCTTCAGAAATGCCCGGGGTACGTCTCTGAGCACTGCTTCCGGCCTGCCTCCCAGATGGCCCCATTGCTCCCCCAGTCCCTCCCGAGGCTCACACAGCCAGACCAGGTCCTCTGAAAAGACACAGCATCTTGGGTTTATTTGGGGTTGGGCACCGCAGGTTCAGGCACAGTTTGTTCCTGGGTAGAGTCACAACTGCTCCTCTCAGCTCTCTTGGCACTTCAGGGGCTGCCCCTGCAGGTCCCCTCCCCACGTCCCCATTTCCTGCACACACGTCTCTTCCCCCCTCCCTGCTCCCCGAGTCTCTCATTCTTTCACCAGCCTGTAGATATGGTGCTGAGCCCCATGCTCACTGGCTGACACCTCGAAGACATAGGCAATGCACAGCAAGGTCTCCTGTGTGTCTCTGTTGGTGACGACCTGTGGGAGAGAAAAAGACAAGGGTGAATAAGGCCCCAGATGAGGGCACACCCTCGCTGCTACCCACACACAGACTCCAGCCACACCCGCGGCACACCTGCAGGATGGTGAAGTTCTCCAGCACGCTGTTCATCATGTACTTCTCGGGGAGATGCTTCAGCTTGTGGATGAAGTTGATCATGTACTCACAGAGCGGGGACCGGTGGATGCGGTAAGAGTAGTGTCCATTCTCATAGCGAGCATACTCTGTCTGCAGGGCCCGGGGACAGCAGGGGCTTAGAATCCCATTCTGACCACCTTGGGCCCAGACCCAACTCCATGGGAAGCCCCAGGACCCAGACCCAACTCCATGGGAAGGAAAGGCAGGAGGCCTAGGGGCCCTTAAGAAAAGAGTCACCCCCAGCCAGGGGCAGTGGCTCATGCCTGTAATCCCAACACTTTGGGAGGCGAAGACAGGCGGATCACCTGAGGTCAGGAGTTCAAGACCAGCCTGGCCAACATGGTGAAACCATTACTATCAAAATACAAAAATTAGCTAGGCACGGTGGCACGCGCCCGTGATCCCAGCTACTCTGGAGGCTGAGGCAGGAGAATCACTTGAACCTGGGAGGCGGAGGTGGCAGTGAGCTGAGATCATACCACTGCATTCCAGCCGGGGCGACAGAGTAAGACTGTCTCACACACACAAAAAGAACAGTCACCCTGTTAGGTTGGTGGACATTAAACAAGACCTCCTTCCTCCACAGGTGACCAGCAGGAACCGGGGATGGCAGGAGGGGAGCTTAAGGAGACACAGGAGCAGTGGCAGGAGCCTCTCAATCCTGGCTGTACGTGAGGACACCACGGGGGATACACAGGGACCCCTGGGAGTCTGGTGGCGATCATGCAAGTCTCCGTATTTACACGCACCCATGCACGTGCACACAGGAGCACGTATAAAGCTGGTGAAATCTGAGCCAGCTTGGTGGACTGCATCAATGTCAATTTCCTGGGTGTCCCCTTTATACTCTAGTTACACAAGACATTGCCAGGGCAAGAACTGGGTAAAGGGCACATGGGATTATGATCCCAAGTGGATCCACAATTATCTCAAAAGTTTTACAAGATTAACTAGAAATAAATAATCTGAGGCACTTTTTAAAAACCAATAATGCCTGGACTCTACCCTGGAGATTGAGGGGTGCTGAATGGGTTTCAGGCACTGGTGTGTTTCCAAAGCTCCCAGGAGACTGTAGGGTGCAGCCAGGTGGAGAAGCACTGGGGGAAGGAATCTCTCTTCCCTGGTGCTGGCCTGGCATCTGGCTGCATTTGGCATGAGGAAGGTTATCAATAACTGATAGGCTGTGAGACTAGGACTTCATGAATTCAGACCAAGCTGGGGACAGGGTGAGGAGAGGGACGCAGACCGGCCTGCATGGCGAGGGGGTCTGGTTTAACAAGTGTGTGGGCGGCACAGGGTCCCGGACTCTCAGAGTGCACAGGTGTTTCGGGCTGGAGGCCTTCAGTACCAGCTCCTTGTCACTGCCACTATGCAGCGGGCCCAGAGCACAGGGTGCTGCAGGAGACTGTGTCACGGACAGTGAAGATAACTTGGCCCTTGTTTAGAGATAAACGGAGGATTTTATCACAACCCCCCAAACACCCACTGGAAAGCAGGGTGGCTGGGTGGGGGGTCCCCCTGAATGTGCGCTCCTCACCACTGTCCTGCACTGCCCTTGGCCGGGGGTTTAGCCGAGTGGGAGAAACCACCGCCTAAAAGGCAGGCCTGAATTTTCTGTAACATCCACTGGAGCGGGGTCTCCAGGTCACCCACAAGTAGAAAATCAGGGAGTTCTAGGCATTCATGGAGCAAAGTGAGCAGCGGACAGAGATCCTAGGCACTGAGCCCTGCTTCTGCACTAGTGAGCGGTGTGACCACGTGCGCGTGGTCGGGGGAGGCCTCTGCTCTCTCTGGGCCTGCACTGTGAAGCCAGAGGGCTGGACTAGGTAGATGCCCCAGGGCCCTGCCTGTGCTGCGGCTCTGATCTTGGAGAGGACCGGGGGCGCCTGTAAGGACGTGCTTGGAAGATCCTGAACGGGCAGCAATGGCTCTGGGGAGCGCCCCTCACCCACCAGGGTGGCCTCCTACCTCAACTTTCTCCACCACCTGCTTGCCGAAAGAGCAGACCTTGGTGGAGCAGGTGATAATCATGTTCTCGGGGCTCTCATACTGGCTGGAGACCCCATAGAAGGAGCTGCCTTCATCCTCGATGTTGGTGTTGAGGTCTGCCTGGAGGGAGACAGGGGGAAGCCGAGGGAGGGTCAGCAGGTGCCGTGTCAGACGGGAGCATCAGGGAGACCTCAGGGTCCCGGTCCCGGCTCTAGGGCTGGGAAGAAATCAGACTGAGGGTAGACAGTAGGACGCTGGAAAGCCTCCACCATCCTCTACATCTCTGCCTGGTACAAAATCAGGTCGTGTTGCCTAAATCATGGGAAAAGAGGACACTGGGACCCACATAGTTTCAGGCCACTGCTGCCTGCCCAGATACTAACACACCCAGCAGGTGGGAGCCCCAGATTCCATCTTTAAGACTTCAAGTTTCATAGTTTAAGACTTTGTTCTTGTTAAACTGCAAAGGTTTGAATCTCTATCAGACAGCTCTATTTTAGTTTGAATGCATCTATCAGAGTCGTTCCAGAGTGAATTCTGATAGAGCAGGAAGCATGAGAACAGAAAACCAGGGCAGGAGACCGGCAGGGGGGAGGGTGGAAGGGGTGAAGGGTGCTCCTATCTCATCCTCTTGTCTCGCCGGAGACCTGATCGATACTCCCTCAGAAACGGCTCTGGGGCTGGCTTCTTGCCCCTCTAGGCATTGCGGGGTCCTGCCACCTTGGATCTTTTGACATCTCTGCTTCAGCCTCCAGCGCAATCTCCCTGGCACCAGCTGTCCCTCCCTTTGGTTCATTTTCTTAACGGCCCTGGGAGTCTCTTCAGAAGACGTCACTGCACCATCTCATCGAGCCATTTAGCCACAAGGGACAGGAGTCTTGGTCCCCGGCCTGGCTCACAAGGCCCTTCACAGGCCCAGCCACTGGTCCTCTAGGTCAGCTTCTCACCTTGCCTCAGACAGGCTGCTCTTCCTTCTCCTGATAAAGCAGAGCCCAGAGGGCCTCCTGCTGAATGTCGGGCTGATCTGAAACTTCTCTTCTAGAAAAGGCAGAGTAAGACTCCGCCGATCTCACACCCAAAATCACAGCCTCAGTTTTATCCATGACGGGTCCTGACTGTTAGCCTTGCCCACCACCACCCAGCTGGTGAGTGAGAGATCCCAGGTCTTCAGGCTCCAACCCCAAGACTTGTCCCAAACCAGCAGAGTGCCACCGCGAAGAAAGGAAGGCACCACACAGACAAGCTCTGGGGACTCTGAGGCAGGAACTGTATTCCTGAAGCCCTACGCCTCTGAGGGGACCCCATGCCCAGAACTTCAGCCCCACATCAAACATCTGAGCCAAGGGTGCTAAGAGAACAAGTGAAGACTCAGAAACAATGCACAGGCACATTACAAAAGGCTTATTCTCAGGGGCGGCCAGTCCTCCCACCCACACCCCCGGTCTGAAATCACTGCAAGCTGCACCCAGAGCACAGCCCTAGGAGTGCAGTAGAGCTTCGGGCCTTGGTCAAGGTTCTGACACCAAGGACTCTTCTGTGCGAAGATGAGGGGATCCCTAGAACCCCAGGAAGGTTTTGGCCAGATTCAGAGCCAGGCACCAAGCAATTCTACTACTGGCCATGAGGGGACACTCAATCATTATTTTTCTCTCTTTTGGAGAGTTTTCCCAGAGCAGGACCTTTCTCTAGACTGGTGGGGGGTGTCGATTGTCTATAGCACAATAGAAACATTATGTAGCCACCAAAAACGCTGAGAAGGACCTGCATGTATTATCATGGATGACTACAAACACACTGAGTGGGAAAGCAGGCTACGGAGCAGAATGAGGGAGGATTATGTTTATGATGAGGAAAAAAAGGCTGTTTTCATGCTGAAACAGAATGGCATATGGTTCGGTGCATCTGCCTCGGCTTTGATGAGGCCATTAGGGAAAAAGAGCATTCGAGTCAATGCTCATCCTCTGAAACAGAGAGCAATGCTTATCCTAAACACCCTCCACTACCAGCCCTGGGCCGGCCTCAGTCTCCCCACTCTGTCTCCATCTGTGATGCTGGGAGGGAGGGGATGACACATGGCAGGCAGGGTGCCCAGGGGGCATGGCAGAGGTGGCTGAGGCCTCTGCCAGATGAGATTTAACTGTGGCCGTGACTGGCCCAAGGTCTTACAGGCAAATGTAAGGCAAATGGGACCAGAACCTGGGCTTTCGGGTTTCTATTTTCTTCTTCTTCTTTTTTTTTTTTTGGTTAAAGGCAGAATTGTGCTCCATCACTCAGGCTGGAGTGCAGTGGTATGATCATGGCTCACTGCAGCCTTGAACTCCTGGATTGGAGCAGTCTTCCCACCTCAGCCTCCTGAGTAGCTGGGACTATAGGCATGTGCCACCACACCTGGCTAATTTTTTTAATTTTTTGTAGAGGCAGAGTCTCGCTATGTTGCCCAGGCTGGTCTCAAACTCCTGGGCTAAAGTAATCCTCCCACCTCGGCCTCCCAAAGTGCTGGGATTACAGGCTTGAGCCACCGTGCCCGGCCCACACCTGGCTAATTTTTTAAATTTTTTGTAGAGGCAGAGTCTCGCTATTGCCAAGGCTGGTCTCAAACTCTTGACCTCAAGTGATCCTCTCACCTTGGCCTCCCAAAGTGTTGAGATGACAGGTGTGAGTCACTGCACCTGGCCTGTCTCCTATTTTCTCTAAGTCACCTGCTCCTCCTAGGAGACTCAGTTTGTCAGACTGTTCCTAAAAAGGGGCTGGGGGACAGTTTGCGTCCTCAGGACATGCTGCAGCTAGAAGTACAGGGCAGAAATGTGAACCATGCCCGCAATGCCGCTGGCAGGAGGCCCAGCCGCCTGGGAAGGACGCACTGGACATGGTGGGGAACACCACGAGGTGAGGCCAGGCATCAATGTTGGTGACCCTCAGACTTCAGCCACGCATGGCCGCTCTGATCAATGCCACATTCATGTGTCATCCACTACACATCCTGATTCTTTTAAATCAACTCACTTTTATTCCTTAATTCCGTTCTAAGCAACAAGTCCATGAAATCAAGGATTCTATTCTTTCTAATATAGATGAAAATAACTATATAACTTTTTTTATTTTTATTTTTTGAGACAGAATCTCGCTGTCACCTGGGCTGGAGTGTGGTGGCGCAATCTCAGCTCACTGCAACTTTTGCCTCCTGGGTTCAAGCAATTCTTCTGCCTCAGCCTCCCGAGTAGCTGGGATTACAGGCGCCCACCACCACACTCAGCTAGTTTGTTTTTTTTTTCTTTTAAATGGAGATGGGATTTCACTGTGTTGGCCAGGCTGGTCACGAACTCCTGGCCTCAAGTGATCCACCTGCCTCGGCCTCCCAAAGCGTTGGGATTACAGGCATGAGCCACCACATCGGGCCTATCACTATTTTTCAAATAAAATCATTTTAGAACATAGGGATCAGGCTTCGCCATGTTGCCCAGGCTGGTCTCAAACTCCTGGGCTCAAGCGATCCTCCTGCCTCCACTTCCCAAAGTGGGAGGGATTACAGGAATGGGCCACTGAGCCTGGGCAACTACATAACTATTTAAAAAAAAAAAAAAGCTTATTCATATGGCACCTTAGAAGAATCCCATGTGCCAAGCTGGGAAGGACTGGCACCCACACCTCCCAGCTCTTCCAGACACACAGAGGCAGCAGCTGCCCCCAGCCCCCAGGAGCATTTGGCACATCCCCCTCCACTACCCTGTCTGTCATCATCTGTCCAGATGTCCTTGCCCCCTTGCAGACAGGATGCTGGAGGCAAGAACTAAGCTCTCCCAGGGCCGTCAATCAAGGTTGCAGGCAGCTGTTCACCCTCTCACCTCCGGGTGGCACCAGTGAGAAGAGCAAGGTCCCTCAGTCACAAGCAGGAACCTACCCTGTCCTGCTCACCCTGAGTTTGCACCCCAGCTCCACCCCCATCTCAAATACACTGTTCTGTCATCAGCTCGCGCTCCCTGGCTCTTCCCATTGCTCGGGTGCCCGTTTATCCAGCCCAGGCCAGCACTGCTAGAGGCAGGGGGGCCCGGAGAGGTTGAGATTGTTTCTGCTTCAGGGAATTTCTAATTGGGAGCAAATAGAACACAGGTGCTGGGGTTGCGCGGGGGGTCGGGGGAGAAAGCGAGATCCCACAATCAGCCCCAGAACTCGTGGTCACACTGCACAGACCCGGAACACACCAGCCGGCCACGCGGATGACCCGCCCCAGAGCACCTCGACTCCCTCAGTGCCTGGATCCTTCTAATTACAGCCCGACCCCTTCTCTTGCAGCTATACTCCTGACATCTGTCCACCCTCATATCTCCCCACACTGAGCACCTCCCCAAAACAAGCTATGCTTCTCGGCCTAAGGAAAAATGGGAGCTGCCCCCGTCCCCTGCCCCGTGAGGGCCCCCTTGCAACCCTCCCTCCACCCTATTCATAGCTGTGCGTGCGGGTGGGCAGCTCACAGGCTGTGCCTGGAACAGGTGTGGGGGATCGGGTGACTGACAAATGAGCAGAGACAGCCGCAGCCCGGGTGTGGGGGCCTGGAGGGGCTCAGATTCATTGTCATGTGCTGGTATGTGCCTGGGAGAAATGTCAGGGCCTGAAAGGGAACAGCAGGCTGAGATGGGAGGAAGGCCTGGGGTACTCTGCTGCCTCCACGGTGCAGCCCGGCTCTGCCCGGCGTTTCCAATGTGCAGAGCAGCGTTAATGGTCACCAGTGACCAAAGGCCCCCTCTCCCCGGCCTCAGGGACAGGTGGCCTCTGCTGGATTTGCAGGGCTTTGGGGGAGGAAGGGGCTTCATTGCACCAGTCCCTCGCTCCAGGCCCTGTGGCACTCATCAGACAGTGCACAGCCCCAGCAGCCTCAGGCCTTCAGGCTGGCAGATGCCACTTGCAGCTGGAAATGTGTCCCAGCAGTCCGAGAGTCTATGAATTACCACCACAGTGCCCGCAGTAAGAGCAGTAACTCAGGGCGCAGGCAAGGAGGCGGGACTGGGGACAGACAAGTCCTCCTCCCACTCCAAGGGGTTCTGATTGCTTCTCCAGCTCGCACACTCAGGGCCTGGGAGCCAGGACTGAGCAAACAGCCAGGCAGGAAAAGAAAGGCTCCGGGA